TGTCCTGCTACTTTCCATTCGCTCATTCGAGGATATTACAACCTTGGAGAGTTTGACAGGGCTATGAAGCTGCTGAGTGAGATGAAGGACTCTGGGGTTGAGACTAATGTAGATGAGTACAATAAGTTAATCCAATCACTTTGTTTGAGGGCTTTAGATTGGAAATCAGCAGAGAAGCTTCTGGAAGAAATGAAAGAGAAAGGTTTGTATCTACCTGGTATTATGCGAGGTCTTGTAAGTGCAGTTAAAGAGTTGGAGCAAGAGGCAGTTGGATCTGAAGATGATCATGCCAAACCATAGATTGTTAGTGGACCATGATCAGTGTTGTAACATGAAGTGGCTGAAGCCGTTTTTGTTCCTTTTCTTGTGGTAATATTTCTTTTTGTTTTATTCTTTTCATTCCAATTTGGTTATCAAATTTTGGAGCTCTTAGGCATTAATTTTGACAGCATCGATTCCAGAACTGTTGATCAAATAGTACATCTTTTTCATTTGGCTGGCTATGTTATTTCGTTTGTGGTAGCTGGGTCTATTAGGAAGTTAATGCTTATATATTTATGTGCGAAACTGTTGGTATGAAAACATCAACAGAAACTTTGCTCTTTTTTTCCAGTGAGCAAAATAATCACATCTCTAACTCTGTATGATTTCCTTGTCAATAAAAGCTAAGGTTGTGGCTTTTAATTGTTTCTCTTTTGGCTAAGGATGCATGGGTGGATATATTTTTGAGGGGTTTTCACCAGCCTGTTTGAGAGTTGGACAGTAGTAGTAGAGTTATGTGATTTGAACTTTGTAATCATCCCATTTCTTTTGCTTCTAAGTACCAAGCTTTATTATTTGGTCAAGCAGCTTGTTGCTTGCTAGTATCACGTCTGCCTTCCACACAGACACTCTTGGTGTGATTGCTTCAATTTTTGTTGTCAAGGAATATATATATATATATATTTATATATGGAAGAGGGGTGGCCAACGATCCAGCCTTAGGTCTGACTGGTCTTAGGGTAGGGGAACTGGAGGTTGAGCGGTGCCAAACTCCCTTGCCCAGCACCTTGATGGGCTTAACCACTTTTCTCCCTTCTTGCTCTGTAACATTCATTTGCTTTTGAGGCAGAATGTGTGGCTTGGCTCACCTCTTATCAAATGTTTATAGAAGTATGCACTGAAGGACAGGGTATAAGATTGTGCTTGATGCATATAGTTTTTATTCTGTGCTAGCTTGTAGAACCCCTATGGATTAATATTGCAGAAATCTCACAAACAGCTCAAGACGTTTAAGATTCACTATGCATAGCAGCATAGTGCTAAGGATGGTTAAGGAAGGCGAGGGGGAAATTGAGGTGTGAGACACTGTTTTAAGCTACACGAGGGACTGTAGGGAGTGAATTCTATTGGTTTTCTTTCTATCTTTTGTTGCTACTTAGATCTGTTGCTTCTGTTTGGGATATTCTGTATGCACACTTGAATTTTTTATTTTTTTTTATTTGCCCAGAATTAATTTGGGAACCATTTGCACCCTTGTTTTGGGCAGTGGTGGTGTACCTGTGTTCATCAATTATAAAATCCTTTTGTTTCTAGCGTTGAATATGTTCAGAAAACATAACTTGAAAGCCGGAAGACTGCTTGTGATTTGTGGGTCTTGAACTCTTGGTGAGAGTACATATATGATCAGATGAAAGTTCTAAAACATTAGCTGGTTATCATGATGCCCCTCAGCCACAAGCCTTTGAGCGGATCAGGCAGATCTTCAAAACTTTAACCTTTACCTTCAGAATTGAGACACGCATTTGGAAACAACCTCCCCATATTGGTTGTTTGCTTTTGAAATGAGGGGAAGTGAGTTGAAAGAAAGTATTCTGTAACCTTAAATCAAACCTTATTCTTCCAATGTTGAAAAGATAGTGCTCAATTTTGCTGCAGTACCTGTCTCGCTTTGTCTTGTCTTCCCCTCCCCACCTCTTCCCTTTGTGATCGATAATCTTACACACTGCAAGGTAAATCTCTACATTTCTAGGAGACTCCTGCAGTGGAAGTACTGACATATTTCGGAACTGTAAATCTCAGTCTCTCAGACCTCTGAGACTTGCTAATAGCAGCATTGCCCTGTATTAGCAAAAGGATTTCTTGTACTGGGCAATGGGTGATGTAACAATAACGACGACTCAATGGCTCAATGAGTAATGCTGGTTCCCTAAACATTTAAAAGTAATGATCTAGTTTATGAAACTGAGTAGTCCATCCCCAAGTTCATAAAATTTCATTATCAAGAGAACGTATTTTCTCCTATCTTTGGCGATTGTAACAGATCACGTACCCGAAACGGTTTCATGTCTCATCTCAAATTATTTGTTTTATTTGACATGTTACGTACAAGCTTTGATCATATTTTAACTAGAATAAATATAAAATATATTAATTACTAATGAACAAAAGAGTTAATAGGGGGTCGCACATCATATAGGATAAGTTGGAATTGAAAAGAGAAATTGGTGAAGGTATCTACACAACTATACCTCATAATTTAGTGAGTTATTTTAACCACAATTATTTAAAGACATTAAAAGTAGTATTTATTGTAATTATGTAGTGTAGATATTGGCAATCAAACGAGTGTCTTACAAACCATAAAAAAGTACCTTAGAATTATAATTTGAGGTGGGGGATACTACAAGCTAACTCTGTCCATAATGTTAATTTGTTGTTAATGAGAAAAGAGTACTTTAAATTAGGACACTCAAACCACCTTCTTAAGTAACACGTAACATACTTAACATGGACTAATTAGTAATTACACATCACTTTATCCAACTTTCTAAAATGTATAAAACTGAATATTTCAAGTGCCCATAAAAGGCCCCATCCATGTTCTTTCCTTTGCCCAACCAAATCCAATTCCCATGATCATGTCACATGTTCATCATATGATATGTGTTGATAAAATGATAACTGAAATTTTCATTATTGAAGAGATTATTTGATAATCTATTTATATTTACATAAATGGAATTATTTCTATTAAATAGTTTATAATTCTTATGAACAATCTTTCGTGTTATTTCAGATGTTGAAGTGAAATGATATCTCTTAATATACTTTCAAACCTTATCTCAGTGATTGTTTTAAGATGAAGGACCTTGGTTTTTGAAATATTTTTTAGGTATTAAAATGCCCGAAGTTAACAGGTCTGTTTTTGTGTCAACAAAAGTACTCTCGACATTGTCTCTAAAGCAAATTTGTTGGGAGCTAAGCCGAGTGGGTTTCCTACCAAGCAGAATCATAAGATCGGCCTAGCTAATGGGGAGCCACGTGCAGACCCAGAGTTATCATAGACTTTGTGGCTCGATTGATCTATCTTGCGGTCACTCGTCTCGATTTGGCATACTCGGTTCATAAATTGTTTCATTTCGTGCAAGTGTCTCAAAGTGAACATTAGGATGCGGCTTTGGGAGTGGTCTATTACTTTAATATACTACATATTAATTTTACTATTACCAAATATACTAATATTATCTTAAATTTTTTATTAAAAAATAATATATTAATTTTATTATCATGTTGCTTTTGGTTTGAAAATAAGTCACTATACTTGGGACATCATCAACCGTCTTAGACTTTGTATCTCTTCTCATACATAGTAGAAACTTTATTGCAAGTACTTATCTTGTCAAAAATTAGAAATTAGACTAAAATGATTTAGATATTAGATTAGATCAAATCAATCATTATTTCTAATACGTAGTATATGTTTACTTGTCACTCCCCAAATATCCTTAATTACACGTATATGATCACGAATATAAAATGTTTGAAAGATAATAATATTGATTGACTTGATTAAATGATTACTAATTAATTTCATGGACTAATTAGTAATCAAATCAATCAATATTACTATCTTTCAAACATCAAATATGTATATGATTACGAATATAACAATTTACTTATATTATACATTAATATAAATATCAATAACTATATACTAAAAGACACACCAGCAATGACACGTGTCATTTTCTGGTGTGTCCCTTATTTTAATTTTTTTTAAATAATCTTTAAAAAACAAATCTTATACATAAATAAAAAGATAGCAAAATAATACATAAATAAAATATTTGACAAATCTTATACATAAATGAAAAAGATAGCAAAATAATACATAAATAAAAGATTTGATAGGTCTTTCCATAATATATACATTGACAACTATATATTTTTTTTTGAGAAAAATATAAAATTAAGTAAAAAGAAATAAGTATTACATCGGATTTTTAACATAATTGTGCTAGAATGTGTGCCAGAATGTTATGTACTACCTATTACAACAATATTTTTTTTTATTTAATTATATGTTAAAACCCACTAATAAAGTAATTTGAATTTCAAATATTAAAAAAGTAGTTAATATAAAAGATTTGATGTACCCTTCTACAAATAAATATTAACAACTATAAATTTAAGGAAAAAAATCAAGTTCTTTACATAATTAGTGACATTCATATGGACTAAAGAGTGCAATGTACAACGTTTTAAGAAATTCATTTGGTTAACAACAAGAAAACTGTATCAATTTATTGATGAAAAATATATGAACAACACATATTGTCAAATGCATTTTAAAAATAGCTATCTATCTAATAAACTCTTTTATGATAATTAAATGCATTATAGGCTCTTTTATAATAAATTCATTACTCCGTATAATATTTTAGAAAAATTCATTATTAATTTTAAAAATAGTTATTAAGAATAACTGTGCATGACACGGGACCTAACCTAGTATGATCAAATTTCATTTTGACCAAAACATCAAATCATATGTCAATAAGTTCCATCATTGCATAACATTTGAATAAAAAATACAGTAACACAGTACTATACGTAGCTTTTATGGTTAAGAATAAAACATTTAATATATTTTCTAATTTGGTATTGATTTCGGAAATGCATGCCAAAATCACTCACAAATCAGTGTAATTAATGTTATACTCCGTATTTTTATTTATTTTTTTCCATTTTTAGCTCATTATAGGTAGCCCTAAGGATTATGTATAGCATTGACCTACTAATTGGTTATTGGTGCAGTGGTGATTGAGACTGCAATTGGTAGGGAGGATCCGTGTTCGAACCCCCGCAACAATAATTAGGATGGGACTGAAACCTAATCACCCAAAACTGATCTGAATCCGGATTAGTGCAAAAAGTGAACGAGTAAAACAACCAAAAAAAAACGGAAGAATTAAAAAAAAAAAAAAAAAAGTCATTGGACGACTGACATTTTCAATTTTAGCAAGTTTTCCAGATTCCCCGCAAAAATAGTAGGTGCAAACATGGAGTATATAGGAGTAAACCACTGCTGCTCCAAAATTAGCACTTTCCCATATAAATTTTCTCTCCTTTCTCACAACTCTTCTGAAAAATCTCGCCATTTTTCTCTGAAATCTCAACTCAAGAACCTTGAAATTAAAATGACCAAGAAACCCAGTGTTATCAAAGATAATAATAATGCGTCTACTTTGATTCAAAAAGAAGTTACTAGAACTGATTTTCCTCCCGATTTTGTCTTTGGCGTTGCAACCTCAGCTTATCAGGTTTTCCCCATAATTTTTAATTATTATTTGGTTCAATTTTATTTGTTTTAATTTATTTGATTAGATAATCTGAAAGAGGGAAAAATACCCACCAAAAAAATTCAATTTTTATCTGAAAAAATTGATTTGATCATACTAAATTTAAGCTATGTTTGATTGTTTTGTTGTTGGATGATAGGTTGAAGGAGGTTGGAACGAGGGTAACAAAGGTCCTAGTATTTGGGATGCTTTTACTCATATTGAAGGTAATAATTATAATTATTACTTCGTATAATGATTAATGAGTTTGATGGGATTTTTTTTAATGTTTAAGATAAGATATTTTGATTGATTTATTGGTATTTTGTTGTTGGGTTAGGAAAAATTGTTGATGGAAGTAATGGTGATGTAGCAGTTGATCAATACCATCGTTACAAGGTTGGTTGGTTGATTCTAAATGTTACATTTTTATGAAAAACTTCTGCTTTTGTTTACATCTACTCAGATTTGTGTTAGACATGGGACTTTGTCCAAGTGTTAGAGTTGATTATTATATGAAAAAAATTCGTGTTTTTGGTTGAAAATGAAAAGTCCGAGTAATCAGGGGCGGACCCACCTTTAGTCATAGTGGGTCCGGTGACACAGTATTTTTTTTAAAAAATAAAATATCAAAGAGACCCCTTATTATAGATAGGGGGTCTCGTTGATGCTGCTAGTGGTAACAACAAACAATGTCAAAGAGACCCCTTATTAAGATAGAACATCTCTTTGATGCTGCTATTGCTACAAAAGACTTTGTGTGTTTTTTTTTATATATTAAAGAGACGTGTTATTTATATAAAAGGTCTCTTTGATGCTGCTCACAATTTTTTTGCGTTACTTTCTTTTTCATTAAAGAGACCAGTTATATTTAATAACTGGTCTTTTAAGTTATCTCACTTTTTTTTGTATAATTTTTTAATAATTTTTTCCCCCTTTTTATATCTTATATTTGTACAACCAATTTTAATATTTCCCCATAAAGCTTATCAATTAACTAAAAAATCATAAAGTTAATTCAATATAATAATTTTATTGTACCATTGGTTTATAACATGTTATTTGTAGTATTTTCGACTTGTAAAATTGAATTCTTAAGTACTGTATTTGGTTGTGATATGAATTTTTGTGTCCTATTTTTGGATTGAAATCAATTTGGTATATGTATATATACATATATATGTATGTATATATACATATATATATATTTTATATATATAAGTTTTGGATTGAAATTAATTATGAACAAGACATGGAAAAAAAAATTGTACTTTCACAAATGATCAATAATTGATGGTGACACACTATCTCGGAAATCTTGGATCCGCCACTGCGAGTAATATAGGTTATATATAGACCTTTTTGTTTCATTGTTTGATTTTCATGGCAACAGGAAGATGTACAACTCATATCTACATTGGGGTTTGAGGCATACCGGTTTTCAATATCATGGTCCCGCATATTCCCTGGTACAAATTTTACTAGTATATACTTGGTATATTTGCATTTTACTAGTATCTTCTATTTTATGTTAACACTTAATATGTATGAAAAAAAGTAGTTGCATTTCTCTGAATAGCCGTGGTTTGTGATTGGCTTTCTTGATTTCAACTTACTAAAATTGTGTAAAATGGGAAATTGCAAACTTAACTATTATGAAGGAATTTTGGTTATATTGTGCCTTGTGTCGTGACAACAAATACTGCACAGAGGGGAGTTTTTAGTGTTTCAATTGTTCTCACATAAAATGGTGTTTTGCTATGCTTTCAGATGGTCTCGGGACTAAGGTTAATGATGAAGGGATCAGTTACTACAACAATCTTATCAATGCACTTCTCGAGAAAGGTATAAACTTCTGATACTACTAAAAATAGTTTAACATCATGGAGCAATGAAAACGATGTTATGTACCTATTTGCAGGTATACAACCTTATGTTACTTTGTACCATTGGGACCTTCCTTTACATCTCCAAGAGTCAATGGGAGGATGGATGAATAGGGACATTGTGTGAGTACTTGTCTTGAACTTTAATGTTTGGGGTAGAAGAGAATGAGCCTCTGAAATGAAACTCCATGCTTCGATACTGAATGCATATTACTTAACCAACCACAGAAGAGTATTAACATTTACTCCGTATCACATTATTTTCTGCTATCTTGTTTAGTTTCTGCCGAGATGAATTGGTGTTCTCACGGTAGAGCTGTCTAACATGGTTTCAACAACTGGCAAATACCAGAAAATATTTTACAATGTATGCAGAAGCATGCTTTGCAAATTTTGGGGATAGAGTTAAACACTGGATTACATTTAATGAGCCTCTTCAAACTTCTATCAACGCCTATGGTATTGGGATATTTGCACCTGGAAAATGCGAAGATTCATATTTGGTAGCACATCATCAAATCCTGGCCCATGGTTCTGCTGCTTCAGTCTATAAAGACAAGTACCAGGTATCAATTTTTCTAAATTGACTATTTGACTCAACACTATGAATATCTGTGTGAGATGCATTGCTTGAAGCTATAGCTGATTAGTTGTCGATTTCCATAAGAAACAGAAATGATTAATAACGCTTCCAACTTATCTCAATGATGTCACCCCATCATTTACTAATCAACTGGTTGTGTTATTGCCCTGATGACTGAGATAAGCTGGAAACCTTAATCATTAAGATTCGAAGGAGGCCATGGACAATGGCATGACTGATTTTTTTTATTGACAAACAATTAATAATACATTGTCTTGGTGAGGCTTTTTTAGTGCATTACCCAGGCCTTTACTGACATGCAATTCTTTTATCCTGCTTTTCCCCCCTCCATCCAGGAAAAGCAAGGTGGACAGATTGGGTTGGTGGTAGATTGCGAATGGGCTGAAGCAGCATCAGAGAGTGTTGAAGATAAAATTGCTGCTGCGCGACGCCTTGATTTTCAGCTAGGATGGTATCTTACCTCCTGTTTCATGCAGTTATATTTGGTTATCAAGCTTAGAGTCAATCTTTAACGGTGTGTTTGGATTGAAGGAAATGGAAGGAATAGAAGGGAAGGGAAATGGAGAGATGTGATATCTTTCATTTGGATAACGAATGAGGAACGAAGGGAATTAAAGGGGAGAGAAATGGAGGGATTAAATTGTAGGAAAATAACCCTCCAACAATGGAGAGATTTGGAAGGAAAACTCACCATTCTTCCCTTCCCTTCCTTTCCTTCCCCTCCTCTTCTCCTCTCTCCCCTTCTTTCCCTTCCTCTTTCTTTATCCAAACACACTGTAATTGAAAGATGGACCTGTATTTTTTTTTTATTTTTTTTTTTCTAGTCTTGGAGCAGAGCTGAACTAATATTCCTCTTGTTGGAGGGACTGATCATTTACTATACTGTTTGCCGTAGGTATTTGGATCCAATATATTTTGGAGACTATCCCCAAGTAATGCGTGAAAAACTTGGAGAGAGGCTTCCTAAATTCTCTCAGGAAGACAGAGACTTGCTTCAGGACTCCATAGACTTCCTTGGTATAAATCACTACACTACTAGGTACATAGCACACTCAACTGCTGATCCTGAAGGGCATGAATATTATGCAGCACAAGAGATGGAGAGAATTGGTAATGCTGTATCCTAAAGGACCTTTTTATTTATTTGTTATCTGTTCTTATTTGTCTTCTTGTTTCATAAACAGCTGAATGGGAAGAGGGTGAATCAATCGGTGAGAAGGTATTGTTCAGCTCTTTCAAACGTGTTTTTTTTTTTTTCCCGTGACTTGTATCATTACTGATTTTCTAGTTTACTTGACTGGCAGGCTGCATCATCCTGGCTATATGTAGTTCCTTGGGGATTTAAGAAACTTCTTACTTACGTAGCAAAGTGTTGATAAGTATATTAGGTGACTCGTACTTCGTAGCTTTGTCCGCCCGATCGGGCGGACATTGCCCGGTCTGACCGGGCGGAAGAAGAAGAGGTGCCTGGCAAATTCGTTGAAGAAGCTGCTCTCGCGCCCGACCGGGCGAGCCTTCGCCCGATCGGGCAGACCTTGCCCGGTCTGACCGGGCGGTGGGGGTTGGATACGTTGAAGCATTCGTATGGAGTTTTCTTCTCGCGCCCGATCGGGCAGACCTTGCCCGGTCTGACCGGGCGGAGAAGGAAAAATACGGAACGCGGATTTTGCGGTTTTAGGTTATCTTATTTTATTATCTTTTTGCCCAAGTATCTTTTAATTAGGGATTAATATAAAACCTCCCTAATATCAGTATTAGGGTTAAGAGAGACAGAGTGAGAGCCGTTCTTGAGAAATACAAGAATCATCTTTGTAATCTTTGCAGTTTATAGTGAAATCATTCGATCTCGGTGCCCGTGGACGTAGCTATCACATCGATAGTGAACCACGTAAATTCTTGGTGTTGTTCTTATTGTTTGCATTGAATTTCTTTATTGTTTTCTTGTTTGTTTACGACCTTTGCTTCCGCTGTCGCACAACAATTGGTATCAGAGCTCAGGTTCAATCCTTGGAGAGTTTCTTGAAGATAACAATGGCAGGAGATTCAACAATAAGAATTGAGAAGTTTACCGGGAAAAATAGTTTCGGGCTATGGCAAATTAAGATGAAGGCTCTGTTAAAACAACAGCAGATATGGCGTCCGTTGGCTCCAAAGAGTACTACTTCGGAGTCAGGAGACGGACCGACTGACTCGCAGTTAGAAGTTATGGAAGAGAAGGCACACTCTACCATATTACTTAGTCTTGATGATCAAATCATCACGGAGGTTGCTGATCAGGAAACGGCGGCTGGATTGTGGCTGAAGCTGGAGTCATTGTATATGACTAAGTCGTTGACCAACAAATTATTACTGAAACAGCGGTTGTTTAGCCTCCGGATGCAGTCAGGTACTTCCTTACGGGAACATCTAGAAAAACTTAACTCTATTTTGCTTGATTTACGTAATTTAGATGTTAAAATTGATGATGAGGATGCTGCGTTGATTTTACTTGTATCTCTACCGTCTAGCTTTGAGAATTTTGTAGAGTCTTTTGTTGTTGGTAAGGATTCTATAACCTTAGAAGAAGTGAAGGCAGCACTTCATACTAGGGAACTCAGAATGAAAGCTACGAGTGATAATGGGGATAATGGTAGTGGGTTATTTGTTAAGTCCGGAAAGTCTAAAAAGAATAAGGGGTTTAACAAGGGGAACAATGCTGGGTCGGGTGCTGGAAACGGCAAGGATGGATCTAGTAAAACTACTACTAAAACATGTTATTACTGTAAAGAACCGGGTCACTTTAGGAATAATTGTCCGGTGAGGAAAAACAAGTCCCAGGCTGCTGTAGTTGAAGAGAAACCGAATGAGAGCTATAATTCAGAGGAAGATTTAGCATTAGTCAGTTCTGCTAGGTCTGATGATTTATCTGATAACTGGGTTCTAGATTCGGGGTGTTCGTTCCATATGTGTCCACGTCGAGATTGGTTTGATACATATGAACCTCGCAATGGGGGTATGGTTATAGTCGGTAACAATGCTCCATGTAAGGTCACAGGTATTGGTTCCATGAGGTTGAGGACTGTTGATGGGCGGAGGTTAACTTTGACTAATGTACGGCATGTTCCTGCTTTAGGAAAGAATCTGATTTCATTGGGTACCCTGGATGAATTGGGGTACAATGGTGTGTTTTCAGATGGGGAGTTGTGTATTTTCAGAGGTTCTGAGTTGGTACTTAAGGGTATCAAAAGGAACACCCTCTATGTTTTTGAGGGTGTTACACTGCCTAGTTCTGCGGTTTGCGCATCTGTATCTCACCAGGAGATGACTAAGATTTGGCACATGAGGCTTGGTCATATGGGGGAGAAGGGGATGCAGCTATTGTCCAAGAGGGGTCTTCTATCCGGGGTCAAGGTTGCCAACCTTGAATTTTGTGAGCATTGTGTGTTTGGTAAGAAACACAGGTCAAAGTTCAGCAAGGGTGCTCACATTACTGATGCAGTGCTCGATTACATCCATTCAGATTGCTGGGGTCCATCTAGAGTTGAAGGTATGGGAGGTTACCACTATTTTGTGTCATTTGTTGATGACAAGTCCCGATACACATGGCTTAGGTTGCTTAAGTCAAAGGATGAGGCCTTCAAAGTTTTCAAGCAATGGAAAGCTTTGGTGGAAAATCGACAAGGAAGGAAGATCAAGAAGCTACGAACGGACAATGGGCTAGAGTTTTGCAAAGACGAGTTTAATCAGTTCTGTGCAGATGAGGGTATAGGTCGGCATCATACTGTCAGGAAGACACCACAGCAGAACGGTGTAGCAGAACGGGTTAATCAGACACTGCTAGAGAGAGTTCGATGCATGCTCTCTAATGCAGGGCTTGGGAGGAGGTACTGGAGTGAAGCTGTGTTAACAGCTTGTTATGTCATTAATAGGGGTCCTCATTCTGGAATTGATTCCAAAATTCCGTTTGAGATCTGGAGTGGTAAGTTGCCTAATTTTTCGAATTTGAAGATTTTTGGTTGTGTTGCTTATTATCATGTTATTGAGGGTAAGCTGGATCCACGAGCCAAGAAGGGGTGTTTTGTTGGGTACGGGGATGGTGTGAAGGGGTTTAGAATTTTTTCACCTTCGGAGGGTCGGGTCATTCTTAGTAGGGATGTTACTTTCGATGAAAACACCATGTATTCAATTAAAAATGCAGAGATTTCAGATTTGAGAAGGGAAGGAGACAATTTATTACAGACAGATGGGGTACTTGAGGTACATCAGTCTACCATTGCTGATTTACCTCGGGTACAATATATTGATGATGATGCTGATGTTCCAGTGCCGGGTACTCCTGAACCTGAGATTACTCCTACTCATTCTAACTCTGGGGATGAGGTGGAGCAATCTAATCAGGGGTCATCTAGTCAACCTGACACCATTCTTGAGATGCCTAAACGAGTTATCAAGAAGCCTGTTAGATTGATTGAAGAGATGGAGGGAAGAAATTGCTGTGTTGATGCGATGACAGGTTATGCATTGAGTGTAGCTGATGATGTAGAGTCATTTGAACCTGCCACATATAAACAAGCAATTAGTTGTAGTGAGTCTGCGCAATGGCTTGCCGCAATGGGTGAAGAGATGCAGTCTCTTTACAAGAACAGAGTGTGGGAACTGGTAAAGGTACCGGAAGGGAGGAAGCTTGTGGGTTGTAAATGGATTTACAAGAAGAAAGAAGGGTTGTCGGAAACTGAGCAAATACGTTTTAAGGCTAGGCTAGTTGCTAAGGGGTTCAGTCAGGTAGAAGGGGTTGATTTTGTTGAGATATTCTCACCTGTGGTTCGACATACTTCTATCCGTGTGTTATTGTCAATTGTAGCACATTTTGATCTTGAGATGGAGCAGTTGGATGTTAAAACGGCTTTCCTTCATGGCGATTTGGAGGAGGAGATTCTGATGAAGCAGCCCGAAGGATTCGAAGCTCCTGGAAAGGAACACTATGCCTGCAGATTGCTAAAGTCATTGTATGGACTTAAGCAATCCCCCCGACAGTGGTACAAAAGGTTTGATTCTTTTATGGTTTCACAAGGTTTTGACAGGAATTCATATGATTGCTGTGTGTATCATAGTAAGCTGGATAATGGTTCCATGATTTATCTTTTGTTATATGTTGATGACATGTTGGTTGCCACAAAGAATAAATCTGATATTGCTAGATTAAAGGAGATGCTTAACTCGGAGTTTGACATGAAAGACTTGGGTGCAGCTAGGAAGATTTTGGGTATGGAGATCTACAGGGATCGGGCTAGAGGTAAGCTTTTCTTGACTCAGAAAAGCTACATTGAAAAGATTTTGTCTCGTTTTGGGATGGAAAAATCGAAGCCTATAAGTACGCCAACTACTGTTAGTTGTAAGTTGTCTTTGTCTATGTCACCTCAATCAGAGGAGGAGTTGTCTTATATGTCTAGAGTTCCATATGCAAATGCGGTTGGTTGTTTGATGTATGCTATGGTCTGTACTAGGCCGGATATTGCGCATGCCGTTAGTGTTGTAAGCAGGTTTATGGCTCGACCTGGGAGGGAACACTGGCAAGGGGTGAAAAGGATTTTTCGCTACCTGAGAGGGACAGCTGATATTGGTCTTGTGTACGGGAATGATAAGGAATGCTTGGTCACTGGGTACAGTGATTCTGATTATGCAGCTGATGTGGATACCAGGAGGTCTGTGACTGGTTATGTGTTCACTTTGGGTGGTTCTGTGGTTAGTTGGAAGTCTACATTGCAGTCATCAGTTACGTTGTCAACTACTGAAGCTGAGTATATGGCTTTAACTTCTGCAGCTAAGGAGTCTATTTGGCTCAAAGGCCTAGTAGGTGAACTGGGTATTGCACAGGATTTTGCTACAGTGTATTGTGATAGTCTAAGTGCGATTTGCTTAGCTAAAGATCAAGTACACCATGATCGGACGAAGCACATTGATGTCAGGTATCATTTCTTGCGTACTGACAAGAGGATTAAGGTGAAGAAGATTGGGACTGCTGACAACCCGGCTGATTTCTTCACTAAGCCTGTTCCGTTTAGCAAGTTTAAACATTGCTTAGACTTGCTAAATATTGATTACTACGTGATGTAGTAGGCCCTGAGGGGCGAAGTTGGGGAGCTCCTGGTGTAGGTGTGTTGGCATTAAGGTGGAGCTTGCCCGGGGCTTGTGATGCAGGTGGAGCATTATGAGTTGTTATACTTGGAGACGAGTATGTGATGGGTCTTGGTTGAAGACTTATCGGGATGTATGGCTTATGCATGAGTCCTGCATCGGGTTTGGCTTGAGATGTTTTTTCACTATGTCTTGATGGGGTCGTTTGCTGACTACGAGTTCTCGTCAAGGTGGAGATTGTTGATAAGTATATTAGGTGACTCGTACTTCGTAGCTTTGTCCGCCCGATCGGGCGGACATTGCCCGGTCTGACCGGGCGGAAGAAGAAGAGGTGCCTGGCAAATTCGTTGAAGAAGCTGCTCTCGCGCCCGACCGGGCGAGCCTTCGCCCGATCGGGCAGACCTTGCCCGGTCTGACCGGGCGGTGGGGGTTGGATACGTTGAAGCATTCGTATGGAGTTTTCTTCTCGCGCCCGATCGGGCAGACCTTGCCCGGTCTGACCGGGCGGAGAAGGAAAAATACGGAACGCGGATTTTGCGGTTTTAGGTTATCTTATTTTATTATCTTTTTGCCCAAGTATCTTTTAATTAGGGATTAATATAAAACCTCCCTAATATCAGTATTAGGGTTAAGAGAGACAGAGTGAGAGCCGTTCTTGAGAAATACAAGAATCATCTTTGTAATCTTTGCAGTTTATAGTGAAATCATTCGATCTCGGTGCCCGTGGACGTAGCTATCACATCGATAGTGAACCACGTAAATTCTTGGTGTTGTTCTTATTGTTTGCATTGAATTTCTTTATTGTTTTCTTGTTTGTTTACGACCTTTGCTTCCGCTGTCGCACAACACAAAGAAATACAACAATCCTACAATTTATGTTACTGAGAATGGTATAGTTCTTCCTTTGAAAGATTTTATTTAGTCATTTAATAATTTGGCTAAACCAACTGTCTCCCTAAAACTACCCCAAACTTAAGGAAGAAAATGAAAGAAATGAAGAACACATGGATAGTCAAGAGATCAATTTGTGAAGCTATTTATGTGTTGGCAGGTATGGATGACGAAAACGATGACTTGGCTGAGCTCCATGAGGTGCTAGATGACAGGTTGAGAGTCACTTACTTCAAGGGCTATGTTGCCGGTGTTGCAGAGGCAATCAAGTAAGCATCTTAAATTTAGGCATTAGATGTTCTAATGGGGATTAGTTCCTTTAATCACCTATGTCATGGATGAAATTTACATGTCATTTGCTTATTCTCATTCGTCAATCATGCTATTCATCTTGTGTGGTTTGTGGTGAACTGATGACTGATGAATTGATGATTGGCATATTGAGATTCTTAAATAGGTGTATTATAGCTGCCTACTTATAGAATACTGGTTGATTGGTTGTATTATGTGTGTTCTTTTCACCTGATTTTATTTAACTGGACTGGTTTTTGCTCAACTAAAGTGCCTTATATTGAATATTTTTTTAGTTTTTTGCTGTTTAAGACTGATCTGTACTAAACTAAATTGTTGTTTTTTTTTAGATAGAATATTTACTGAAACTTATATTAAATCAGTGGAGGAGAATGAGCCTTGCCTTTTGTTGATGAGACATAATTTATATTGTATTTGGATCCAATATATTTTGGAGACTATCCCCAAGTAATGCGTGAAAAACTTGTATTAAGTACATAACTTAATGCCGTCTTCTTCAAGGGTAAAATCTTGGTCATTCATTATGTATTTTATGTAAGATATGTTACATGTACATCTACTAACAATTGATCAACAGGGATGGCGTCAATGTGAAAGGATACTTTGCATGGTCTTTGTTGGACAACTTTGAATGGCAACAAGGTTACACCAAGCGGTTCGGTTTAGTTTATGTAGACTACAAGAATGGACTTTCTCGGCATCCAAAATCCTCCGCATATTGGTGGATGCGGTTTCTGAAGGGCAACAAGGGGAAAGATGGTAAAGAAGAGTGATTTTTAATGGGACCTCGATCTCATTGAAAACAGATTATTACAATTTACAAGTTTACAACTTACAGAAAATAAACTAAACCTTCTTTTACCAGTGTTGTGATACTTGTGAAGGCTACCAATATATATTCAGCAAATTTGGTTATGCTTGTATGACTTCCTCATAAAGTAACCAAGATTATTATCATGTTACTACTAAATTGGATTTCTTACTATTACCTACTTATATGATCCTTTTCTACATCTGGATTCTACGGGCTATTTGATTGGCTCTGCAGGACTTTTCTGCATGTCGTATTTGTAAGGTCCCTCACAGTTGGGTAGATCCTGCCCATTGGCTGGCTGTGTGTGCTCGCCAGCGTCAGTTTCTTTATTGGTCCTTTAGTTTTTGAGTGTTTTGTTTGTTTCCTTGTCCACCAAAAAAATAAAAAATTATATGATCCAACATGTTTTTCTCCAAATTTCCTTCTGAAAGTAGTTTTGAGTCGGCTAATATATGATGAAGATGGTCAATGTATTGTCCAACACTCCCATGACTTCTAAAGTTCAAATAAATTATCTTACCTAAAATGTGAATATTTCAAGCTATACCCATAAACATTAGAGCCTATGAAAGTTGCTTCGGTAAAAAAAACTTCCATGGTTGTGAAATCTACATAAACATTGCTGTCATAAGGATAAAAACTAGTGCAGTATCAACCCCGAAGAAAGTTTTTAGGTCCTCAGAAGATGGCGTAAATAAGGGGGACGTGAAACGCAGTCATTTATGGAAACGTGAACATTAGGTTATCAATAAAATATCTCAAATTGCATGATTATCGATTTTACATATATATCATATATACAAATATTATTGCAGGATTAACATTACAAGACATTCTACAATGCCTACCCATGATACATGTGCTAAAACCTTAACAATTTCCCAGCCCTCAGCCTCCTTGTTAACCTACTAATCGCCCAAAAATATTAAAGTAAAAAGCATAACTTAGACAAAGAATAAATTATGGGAGATCAATGGCCCCAAAAGCTAAGCTACGTCAACTAACTAGAACTACACGGCTATTCACCAATCTACCTTCCTGTGTGTTTGGGATCAGAATTCTGATTTCAGGAGCTTTCCTCTAGGATTTATTTTAATGTCGTAGAAAGCAGTCTCCTGCTCTGCTTGTACGTAATCCTTAGTTTTGAGGACCTGTAAAACATCACCAAAAGCATTCATTTTCCATCACGTAAAATCATGTCAAATAATTTGATAGTTTCTTACTAACAGAGTTTTATCTCCGTTCAACCTTATAATATGCTAGTTGACGTACCAGTGTCTCAAAAAACATTCTCGATGCTTCTTTACGAGTTTTCCCAACCAACAGGCTGTCCAAGGAGATAGCCTTCTTGGCTTGATCAGATTCCTTTTCAAACAAGACTTGAAGATAGTTGGCAACAGCTCTGACAAGACAAAACAAAACATATCAGAGTTAAACATACCAGGGTCAAAAAACAACCTTTTAGATTCAGGTTTTGAGTTTAGACCAATGTCTGTCAATATACATTTCATTTCCGCCCAACTCAGCTTTTGAGTTTAGATCTGAATCAAGCTGAAATTCCTGTCATCTTTAGACCAAGTAGCTTATATGTTTGCTAAATTCAATATCCACCCTAATTTGAGCATCACAGCAAAAACACCCACTCCCCCACCCCATGTCACATTTTATATTTATATATAAAATAAAATAAAAAATGAACACACACCTGGTACGAGAAGACCAGCCACTGTTGTCTAGAATGCGTTTCTCTTCTGGATTAGGCATATCACTTTCATAGTCTTCAGCAACATCATCATCATCAACATTCAAGAAGTCTGATTGGCCAAGAGCAAAATAGATCATTATTTTTACCTATAAAATCTGTTCAGTGCCAACAATGGTTGGAATATAGATTTGAAGAACAATAACAAAGCCTTAATCCCAAAGTGATTTGGGGTTGGGGTTGGGGTATGGAGTTCAACATTAAAAAAATAATTTAAAAAAGAAAAAAGCTAGTTAGGGCCAACTATAAATAAACATAAACAACCAAAGGCAGGCTTTATGAAGCTCAGCTGCACACCAACCTTAAATCCAAAATATAAGATATCACATCTGCTTGTTTACATATCACAATAAATGTAAACATAAAAACAGCCATTTACAATTATGGTTAAGGTTAACTAACAAAAATACAAGAAAAGAACATCCAACCTGTATCATGCTCAATGGCATCCGTCCCAAACTCCTGCATCATAAAGGCAAACATAATAATAATAATCTTAGTAACTCCTTAAAAGAAAAAAAAAATATAGTAAAATATAAAAAAGAACTTCACGTGGGCATATAACATCTAGGTAGTAAGTACCCTGTTTCAAATAGATAATGAAAATTTTATGCATAGGTAATTCAAATTCACTAATCTTTTATATATACAAAAGCAGATACAAACATGTTGTCCCTTCTAAAACATATTTGCTACATATTAAATTACGCAATGCTACATCTATTAAAAAACAATGCTATACAATTGGCCAAGTAATTGCATTAAAATCTAAAGTGCATTTAATTAAGGTTTTCTTTTTCCATAAGAGTATTTAACAAACCGACCATGCTTCAAGTGCTACCTAAATGGACCTTGTTGCTATTAAGCACTAACGACAATGCACAAACTACGCAACTAAATTCCAATTCTTTCCCTTGCCATGGCTTTTTAATCTTCTGATGTAGACAGTAGACTAGCAACACAATTTCAAAGCAGAAATTAAAAAACAAACAAAAGAAGAAATATATAAACTACCCTTTTTTGATAAATTTTTGATATGAAAGACATCTCATCATACTAATTTTATCATATGATTCTTAATCGCCACAAATTTTCTTTAAAAGCAAACAAGCAATGAAGCAAAACACTGATTTTGAATTCTTGAATAATCACAAATGACTGATTTAAATTGAATTCAATTATGCCTTAAGTCGAATGTCCCTGCACATGCATTATGAAAGCATAAACAAACAGCAGCAAGGGAAAAGTACCCTGAAAACAGACCATTTAGAGTACAAATAAAGTGATAAGCAGATACCATCAGATGATGAGCCCCAATCCAATTCCAATGTCCATTAAACAAACAAAAAACATGCATTCAGCTTCTTCATATTAAGGATAAAAGTTGACTTAAAAAACACTTACAGCATTGTTTCCGGTGTCAATATACTCAGAAGGAATGGAAGTAGAGTCAGTGACTATATTTAGGTCAGCTTCCCAATATTGTAGGCCCTCCCTCTCATTTGATGTTGTAACTCGAGAGCTTAAATCAGCTTCTACTGAATGTGATAAATCCACTTTCACATCCTCACAAATAATATTTGAAGATAGGCAACTACCATCAACTTTTAGACCTGAACCAGAGGTATCATTCTTGTTTGTAGTCCCAAGCTCATCTGGATGACTATTGTCAACAGCTTGGTCCGAAATCAGGCAAGCCGTGTCTTCAAGGGCTAAAGACTCGGAGACGGTGGAATTTTGAACAGCCAAAGAGCAAGTATCCTGGAAATCCCTCATCTCTATACTGGAATCAACACCTTCCCTTTTTTCCATCAAATGTTCACCGCCTGACCTCTCGTCTAAATCAACATTCCCAGAGACCCCAACATCCACCCCTATATCTCGTATACCTGATCCAGAAACTCCCTCTGCTGTAGAAGCATCTCCAATTGTACAGTCTGCAGCACACCTCTGATCGAGTACTTCGCCTGACGCATCGATATGCATAGGAATAATTACATCACTCGATTTATTTAGCGATGGTGAACAATCTATAGTATCTTCCGTTGATTTACAATTAACATCAGGAGCAGACACTGGCACAGCTTCTAAAGTAACAGAATGAATTGCTTCACCACCAACTGGAGATCTCACATCATCAACCTTCATATCGGCCTTTTCTACAGAAACGTCATGCGGAGACATCTGTTTTGTGACCTCATTAACTACAATCTCTACCTCCTTAAGCATAGAACTACCATCTACAACGGATGCCGATTCTTGTTCAAATGAAGTCTCCAACAGAATCCCGCCACCCTCACCTGCAGCAATAGATGGAACAAGAGTCCCCATGGGCTCAGTTTCCTCATCAAGCTTTGACCTTGAGATGTCAGCATTAGAAGGTACAACAGTTCCCAAATCTTCAGTTTCCTCACCACGTACTGACTTAATACTGATGTCTGCCTCACTTGCTCCTTTAGTTCCTTCATCACGATAAATTGTGATTCCATTTAAATCAATTGCTTCATCATCCAATGATCTCAATACAGGGAACATTCCTGAAGCAAAACAAGCATCCAGACATATTAAGCAATCTCTTGATGAAGACTTAACACACAAGCCAACAGATAGTTTCCACCAGAATTGGCCAATTGGGTGCAGTATAAGTTGAAACATGGGCTAGAAACTAGCAAACTTCAAAAACAAAATTGATCTATTACAAGAAAGAAACAAGCAGATACCACATGTTCACAGAAAAAAGTAGTCCTAAATTGCCAATCGAAACTAACATAGACGTAAACTATATTAACAATAAGCCTACAAGCATTGCAAAAGGACACACATACAAAGAGATAAGAACCATATAATAATCAGAATCTATAAGCATTACAGAAGGGTACTAATACTGTCATACACCTACAGTACCATGTTAAACAATTTCACCATGCCAACTAACAGCATCAACACAGAAAAAAGAGAAGAAAAGACAAGAGAGACCAACACAAATTAATCATAATATTAGACCTTAGGTGGCAGTGCAAATTGCAAATATCCCCTTACTTCCCTATTATGACTTGTTTCTGACAGGTAATATTTAAGCTATGTGACAAGTTAAATTTTCACTGTTTGGTCACATGATGTATTGTTTCCCTGCGACAGTTCCAAATTCCAAAGGTAGAGTAAGTTACTTCCTCCTCTTTGTGGGAAAAGTTCACACTTCCCAATTTTCCAGCATAAAAAAGCACAAATAAGTTCAACAGAGCACAAAACTATCTACTGATGTAATTCTGCATAATAATTCTTAGATCACACAAATGATAGCAATAAGTTCAACAATCCAAACCATACTTTCATTATAGTAGAGCAACAAATAATTGTTTTCTTATTATTTACCTGTAAATACAGGTTCAGTGAAAACCCCGTCCTCTAAAAACTGTTTCTGAAGCATCCAAACTTCAAGTTTCGTACACGGAGCCTTCTTCCTCACACGGCGTATATCTTCAGTATCTGTTAGTTGCTGCCTTATTGTGCTGAGAAAATAGCAATCAGTGTTCAGAAACTTAAACGTGAAAAATAAAAGGCATTACCATTAACAAGAAGTATAGAAGACAGATGATAGCCTTTACTATAGAAGACCGACAAACATAATAAAGCCTAGTGTCAAAGTAAACCCATAAAATACATTCCCAAAGTAAAAATATGCACGCTTTTATGCTCCAAAGAAATCCTAGGAATGAGTT